GTTAGTAATATTTATTCTATCTTTTAAAAAATTAAAAGACAAGAAAAAAAATTTAAAAGACAAGAAAAGCTGATTTTTCTTTTAACTCATTGCTAAGAAGGATTGTATAAATTCTTTTCTGAATCAAGAAAATGTTCAATTCTGATTTTCTTTTTTTACTCTTTTTTTTTTGCAATGGAGTATTTCTTTTCTCTATTTTTTTTTTACAATGGAATACTTTTCCTCTGCATTTTTTTTTTACAATGGGATATTTTTTCTTCTGATTTTTAAATATTTTTATAAAAGTTTCTGTTTCCCACATATTCATATGTATTTATTGGCCTACGAAGAAGAGTCAGGGAAAGGGGCAGACAATGGAGTTTAGCAATATAGGGCAAAGACGATTTATGATCCACAGTGGTTTAAAGGACAAGGAGGGGGCCCACTGAGCTCTTAGTCTAAGAAAGACTAAGTTTGGGATCCCTGGGTGGCGCAGCGGTTTGGCGCCTGCCTTTGGCCCAGGGTGCGATCCTGGAGACCCGGGATCGAATCCCACATCGGGCTCCTGGTGCCTGGAGCCTGCTTCTCCCTCTGCCTGTGTCTCTGCGCCTCTCTCTCTCTCTCTGTGACTATCATAAATAAATAAAAAAATTTTAAAAAAAATTAAAAAACAAAAGACTAAGTTTGCTTTCCGGTGGAGAGGAAGGCCAGTTGGTGCACATCTGTCTCACAGCAGGACCAGCTGACACTGGCTCACCCCAGCTGACGCTGGCTCACCTGGCCTGGGGGAAGTGGGTGGAGCCAAAGGGAGCCAGGATAGCAGCTCAAGGGTTCAACTGTACCTGACAATAAAGGATGACCACAGCATTGCAGATCATCAAGGTCTTGGGGAAAAGAATCCCTGGATGGCAAAGAAATGACATGGAGTCTGGCAGGCTAGAATATGAGCACTGTGGCGCCTGGGGTAGAAGATGGGAAGAAAAAAACCCTGAATCTGGACTGTTAGATGATTTTGTTTTCTATGCTAAAGGTGTCCAATTATCTGCAAGAGTGGGAACACAGCAGTTCTGAACTTGAGCACCAATAGTGGCATAGTTGTAGTGGTTTCCTGAAGCAAACGTTCCTCCAGGCTCTGGGCCAGCCAATTCCTTATTGTTTATTGCAAGATTCATGGCTGCCCAAGGCTTCCTTCCTTCCCACATTCCTTCCACCCTGCATTGCTTTAGTGCTGCCCTCAGAAGAGCTTTATGAAGGACAGGGTGCTAGATCCTAGACTAACCACAAAATGCCTTTCTCTCTCACTCACAGAGGAATGAGGTTCTTCCTGGGAGTAGACTCCTTAGGTTAGGGATGTGCTCTCCCACGGCCTTTACTTAGTAATCCACCACCTAGTGGTGGAAAGATTGGATACAAGTATGATTTTTTTTTTTTTTTGATTATTGTTAAGCAATTTCTTATGGTTGGTGAAAGTTTGCACACATGGGTTTTGTTTGTTTTTGTTTTGTTTTATTGTGACTTTAAGAGTTTAACTACAAACTTTCTTTTTAGTTTTCCTAGGCCTCAATGAGCCCTTTCTACCTGCAAATTAGGGCCTTTTATTTTATTATTTTATTTTTAAGATTTTATTTATTTATTTGACAGAGAGGGAGAGAGAGAGAGAGAGCACAAGAAGAGGGAGCTGCAGGCAGAGGGAGAGGGAGAAGCAGGCTCCCCACTGAACAGGGAATAGGATGTGGGGCTCCATCCCAAGGGGCTCCACCCCAGGATCCCAAGATCATGAATCTTAACTGACTGAGCCACACAGGCGCCCTAAGCCTTTCATTTTAAACACTGATTTTTCCCTGTCAGGGACTGCTTCTCCTTCCATCTGGTCTTTATTCCTCTCTCCAAATTTGCTCTTTAGATCCTTGAATTTGTTCTCTGAGTCTTCTGTATTTTTCCTCACGAATTGCATCTTTTCCTCTGTTTGCTCTGTGTTATGAGCTTGTCTTCTACTCGGGCTTCCAAACACCCAATTCTTATCTCAGCATTGACTCCCCTCAACTCTCGGTGCCCTACAGATTTTTTAAATGTGGAAACCACATTATTTAGTAACAAGAAACCCTTTAATCCTGAAATTCAATCTGCTTTAGGCTCTTATTTGTTTGTATAAGATGTCCTCTCTTTCCCAGCAGATCTGTTTCCTCAATGGTTGCCTGCTAGTTATGAGCTTTCGGCCTGCACTTCCTTTTTCTGGCAGTTGAACCCTGTATGTGATTCTAGGATCTCTTTTCCTTGTGGAAGTTAAGTTGTTGTAATCAGCCACAGCACGCCCTAGGGTGGCAGGAACCCTCATTGTTGGCTGGTGACCCAGTGACCTGAAAGTTGCCATCTCTCTGCTGGGGCCCTGGAAAATCACCTCTGAGCTCCCAGTGCTCTGGATTCTCACCTTCCAAGGCCTCAAAATAAGAAGGAACCTCCCCCAGTTTTTCTGGCATCTGAAATTATCTCTCCATGACTATGCAGGAGTACAGATGCCTCCCTCCTTCCAGGACTACTTGTAAATTAGATAGAACCTACAGGTCTCCACGTGTGCCGCTTATGCCGAGCACAGAGCTTCAGGCCTAGCCTTGGGCCTCACACCACTGATCCCTGGCTTCTCATTAGTCTGTCCTTTCTTCCTAGAATCTGGCAGAGCCTGAAGATCTGCAGAAAGCAGGCCTCTGGGCTCTGCCTATTGGCTAGGTCCCAGCTACTAATTTGCTTTGCATGTGAGAGAGTGGGATCAGGGCTGGAAGGAGGGGTTGCCCGGATCCAGGCAGCTCTGGGAGGCTTTCTCAGGACAATGAAGGAGGCCTGGAGAATTTGAAACATAAGGTCTATGATAGAAATCTAAAAAAATACAATGTATTCCAAGGGGGAAAAGATGATGGATGTTAGAAACTAAGAAGCAGCAAATCGTGCATATGGTTTGAGACTGGGGAGATGGAGGAGAAAAAATGTAGCAAAAACTGATGATGAGGTCTACTCTGGGGTTCAGGGGGAAAGGGTGCTGTGACCAAGGAGGCATAGGGAGCCCAGGGGACGAGATGGTGAGATCACACTTAATTGTACACAAAGTTTACTCTGGAAGGGATGCCTTTGGAAAATATTGCCCTAGGAAAAACATAGGCTCTTGATTTAGGATACACACACACTCACATATACACACATACACACGTGTGTATATATATGTGATATTATATATAACATCACTTTGAGACCAAATGTTTTCATGATCTCATATATAATTTACAGAATTCTTAGAAGATTGATATGGTAAAGAAAGAAAAGCACCAAGCACATGGTAGACATGCAGTAAGGCTGTGTTTCTTGCTCTTCCCTCTTAACTCTTAGATCTAGATTCCTTGAACACAAAAACATCCCTGTATCCCTAAAACTTAGCATAGTGCAGCCTAATGACTGTTGTGCAGTGCACGAAGGAGTCATTTTGAATACAAAATCAGTAGAAGAGGTTCCTGGTGGAGCAGCAGGTGGTACAGTAAGAAAGAGTAGGGAAAAAAAGGGGGAAAAAAAACCCAGCTCTAAGTTCAGGTTGTAAAACCATGTCCTCTGTGTTCTTTCCATCACGTCACCTTGTTTCTCCATAAAACTACGTTATAAAACAACATTATAAAATGTCCTCTTGTACATAATGTGCCACTAATCAAACCATCTCCCAATTCCAGTGCCTCTCTTTCAAGATATTAAGGAAGCCCTTTGGCATATGAATTATTCTAGTTTCTGGACATTGACTTTAGAATTATTATCATTACTGGGTATACGCTGATGGTACTGTGTGATAACATTTGCCATGATGATTTTAAGACAGATCTCCCTCCCCATAGTTATCACCCACGAAGGTATTTGGGCCTACTTTATGGCAGTGAAGCATTCCTACAAGAATTAGAGGGGTGAGATGCATTTTAGGAAGAACTGAGACAGGAACATGATAGGGGGCTGGGGCAAGAAGAAGATCCTGCAGGTCTTGACACAAGTCTGGAAGCCTTTGTCAACCAGGTAAGAAAGAGCTGAGGTGACAGCAAGTGTAGAAAGTTGGAGAAAAACTTCAGAGATACTCAAGAGGCGTTGCCATAAGGAAAACTAGCAGTGTTATAATTCTGTGGTAGAGAGAAGACTAAAATAAAAATTGAATTCGGGGCTTTCAGAAGAGGTTTCTAGGTAAAGGGGATGTTTGGTCAAGACCGACTTAGAAGACTGGATTACCTCTCCAAGGCTCTCAGTTTTCCTTGCTTTCTGTTCTCATGAATGGTTTGAACCAAGGGGGCAAGCATGCTTAGGCTAAATTAGCATTTGGCTGTTGCAAAATCACCAACCTGGGAAAAAAACACTAACTTTTCCTAACTATTACTGGTTAAGCATGTAATTTCCACATGCAAAGATAAAGTGATAAATTGAACACTCCTGAAGAAAATTTACTTTCTCTGGAGAGAAAAAAGCATAAGCTGTGAAGTCAGATGGTCCTTATTCTTTCTTCTGACTCTATTGGGTAATCATTGAATAGTTCCCAGGGGTCCTCATCTGAGATTATCTTTAATGATATAATTTGTATAAAGCAGTAGAGGTCCTAGCATATAATATGTGCTCCTAAAAACATTAGCCCTTGTATTAATTAATGTTATTTCTCCGAGGTAGAAACTTACTTAGCTATGAAGGTTTTATAGAAATGGGTTAATAGTGGCTTAATAGAAATGGCTCAAACTTACATAATATTGACAGTAGATAGATTTGTTGGAAACTACAGCACTGTCTCAAGAAGTTACAAATACATTGTCCACATCAAATATTAGTGTGTGAATCCAATGATTATAAAGAATAATATTAAATAATATACAGTATTTTATATTCTCAAAAAGTAATGCTGAATCTATCTTTATATTTAAGATGTGGCCTCTTTTTACAATTGGAAAGCCAAAAATATCAAGATTCTAAACCCTTTAAAAGTTAATAAGCAGGAAAAAAAGAAAAAGAACAAAAGAATATCAAATTTATATAAAAGGCATAATTTATTAACATAAAGGACATAAAGCAGATATATACGGTCATTTAGGCTAGCAAAATAAGGAAACAAATTTCAAATTGAATTATCAGTTGCATCAAATTTGGGGGAAACACAAAGGTATGATATTTCTCTATCCCTTAGTAAATCTGAATAAAAAAAGGAACAAGTTAAATATTTGCTTTTGATGGGATCCAAATGACAATCTGATCTTTGGTATCTACAGATACCTCAGGAACAGATAGAGTATAGACAGGATAAATTGTTTTTGATTTTTGATAAGCAATTAAAAACTAAGATATATTGTCCTATCCTGTTATTTATATTGCTAAAAGCCCAAAGTCTGTATTCAAATAGTTGTTAAAATATTCACATACATACATGATTCCTTGCCAGAACGCATCCTTCTCCACCATAAAAACTTCAGAGGGAAAAAAAAAATCACTTTTCTGAAGTCTTTAATGTTTCTTAGACTACAGTTTTATCTTTCTTCTTAGACTAACCCTGGAAAAGCAGTTTGAATGCAAAGCCCCTTGACAAAATATCTGCCTTTTAAAAGATGTTCATTTAATATACAAGAAAAGAAAGGCCTCTGGGGAAAGAGGATAAAGGAGTTAGGATTTCTGACTTCTAGGTTGAAAAACAAGATATCAGAAAGCCATTTAGTTTCCTTTACGCTGATGATTAAAGCCTTCGTTTTAACCTTCGTTATAAATCAGGCGCATTAATCGCTAAGCTGTTTTTACACAATTAATATTAACCTTCTTCAATCTTATCCCTGATTCCCCTGAAAAGCAATAGTTGAATTTTATTTATTCAGTGTATTGAATCAGAATTTCATTTAAAATAGAGCCCCGTAAGCCTGTCTCTATTTATCTGAGATATAAACGTCATGCTGATCTACATACATAATGCTGTGTCATAGAGAAATCACAGTTGTAAAATAATACAGTCTTTAACAATGTCATTTTGAAGTAATGGCAAAAGGAAAAGATGCATGAATCATTTTAGAAAATGTATTACTGCACTTCCTAGAACAATCAAAGCACTGAGTGTAATATCTCATTCTGCTGAAATAGCTTATAGAATCATAAATAGCCAATGCACAGTTCCTGTAATTAATGCTAAGAATGGCAGTTAAGAATGACAAATCAGTGTTCCTTTGGGTTCCATTTTTAGAAAACAGTGGGCATTTCAGTCATTGGCATAGCTTTATCGGTAAAGTTAAAAACTAGACCCAACTAAACATACTGACTTCTGGAGTACACGCTCAGTGACTTCTTTTCCATGTGATAGCTTTTTTGGGCTGTGCGATGGGAAGGTATGGAGTATCTGTAGCTTCTGCTCTTCTCACTGTAACAGGAAACACAGCAGAACAGGGCCCCTCCAGCGATCAGCACCAGCGCGGTGGTCCAGCCTATGTAGAGAGCATCTCCAAGCTCATGCTTTTGGGCAGTCTCCACTATTGGGTTGTAGAACTCTCTGATGATGGAATTGGCCACCCAGCTCACCGGGATGAGCACCAGGATGCCCGTGACGATGAAGATGATACCAGCTGTCAGCAAGATGTGTCCCTTTACCTTCTCATCGTCCCCAGTGCACCTGGTACATTTCATGCCCAGGACAGCGGTCATGAAAGCCAGGAAGGACAGCACAGACGCAGCACACATCAGCCCTCTGGATGCCTGTAGGTCTGGAGAGAGAGCCAGCAGGGAATCGTAGACTTTGCATTGCATCCTAATGTTAGCTTGTCTCACGCAATTCATCCACAGTCCTTCCCAGAAGTTTTCAAAAACCACAATGTTGCTTCCAATGAAGGCAGACACTCTCCACTGAGGCATGATGGTAACAGCCAGCGTGCCCACCATGCCAACACCACCAAGCACCAGTCCAGCAATTTGCAGAGCGTAGGTAGCCATGTGTCCTCCGAGATGGGTGTTAGGCCACCAAACTCCTGAGCCAGTAGGGCTGCTCCAAAGCAAGTTTCTCTGTGCCTCAGGAGAGAACAGTTTTCCTGTAGTAATGAACTCAGAGCCCAGTGATTTTTCAAAGAGCCTGCTTTGCTACTTCCAGCTAGATTAAATCCAGTGTTGGCTGGCTGAAGTGCCCCCCCCCCCCCCCCACATTGACTAGGACAGGTAAACTTACAAATCAGGTGCGGCAACTTTCTCGGCCAATAAGAGGGGGATGGTAACCCAGGTGTGTCTAAACCGACAAGAGATACTTGGAACGACTGGACCTGCACATAAACATTCTTTGTACCTCTCAGTTTTCCAAGAAGACAGAAGTAGGTTTACCTGCAGGCACAATTATGAATGTTTGCACAATCATCAAGAAATGCACCAATCTCTTGCAACATCAAAGGTGTACTTTGTACAGGCAATTCTGAAACTCTTTATAGGAGCTCCTGTGACCAAGGTATAAAATAAAACATGTACCTAAGAAATTGGCCAGGACGGTCAAATTGCCAAAGTGAAAGGAGAGTAGGGGATTGATGGATTGCTCATACTTGGGAAACCACATTCTTTGGGACACATGTGATCCAAGTGGTTGATTTAATGTGTCTACAATTTCAAAGCAAGCTTCACTGTGGTGAAATCAGGGAACTGATTACACCAAAAGACAAAATAAGGTGAAAGTAATTAAATATGCAAGGTTGTCCTCTTCCATGGCACCGAACACATGTTGTTCTTTTTAGAGCCAGAAAAATGACTTTATTGGTGTTTTCCTGATAATCTCGATTTATTAGAAAGATAGTCGCAAAAACAATACATTAATCCATAGGATTTCCTTTTTTTTTTTAGGATTTTCTTATGTAGCAAGCACTCACATTAGCAAGCAAGGAAGTGAATTGCAGATTTATCTTCTTTTGTGGCTCTATCTTTGCTTCTCTGTCTTCCTAGACTCCAGGAACTAGAATCTGCAGATGATACAAGGGTCCTGAGTCTATATAAATGGCTGATATTTCTATATAAAATATTTACAGGATAAGGTGACTGTATTCATTGAATCAAATTGTATTAGGTGTTGAATAACCTGGTCTTTAATTGTATTAGGTGTTAAACAACATGGTCTTTAATACTTTGTCTGCTAGAGGAACTAGAAGCTCCTAAATGTAAGGCAATTTGAACTGTCTCTTCTCAAAATAATGATGTTGACAGTGGTGGCAGAAATAAACATGCATGTTGATTTGGGAAACTTCCACTTGCAATTTTCTCTGGAGATCGACCGCAGTGCTCTTCTTTTTCAGATCTTTTCAAATTTCAAGCTGTATTTTCATCTTATCTTTACATCATAAAAACAGTCTTTTCTTTACAATTTTACTTCTTCCTTGCTTCCTTGTACTGTATGATCTGAACTCTGAGTATGACAGAAAGCATTTCTTGCTCACTTATTGAACTTTGAAATTTTAATAATTCCAAAAATTCTGAGTAGTTTACAGAGGTTATGGAAACAAAGTGGTAAATGGCCTGGATGGGAAGAGGGAGATGTCGGAGTGAACTGTCTTTGGAAAAACAAATAAAATAAAAGAAATAGACAGTTGTCCAAGTTGTTATTTTATTAGATGGGACAAGCCAAAGTTAAAAAAAATTGACACTTGATATTTACAGTAATTTTCTCACTTGTTGCCTTGTTAAAGGACTAAACTGTAGGGTGTTCTTTATGCTAACGGAAATAGCTAGCATTTTCTCCTTCAGGCTTATATGAGTTACAGATTTGTAGTGGAGAGAAAAATTGATTGATCTTGGAAAAATAATCTGCCATGCTCAGCAAAATAGTTGAAATCAAAACAGTAGATCTTTTTTTTTTCTTTAATTGCCAACCTGGGAAAAGGAATGGAATAGCTGATTGAATTAATGACTAAATATAAATATATAAATTTTTATATATATATATATATACACAGAAAGAGAGAATCAAATAAAAATTTCTTTTTCTAAATGCATATATGAAATGTTTTTAGTAGCTCTGTTTAGATATTGCTAAATATTCCCATAAAATGGGGAAAATTTGAGACAGAAATAGGAAATTACATATGTGAGAACCTCTGCCTTCATAGGAGCTGCTTCCCAGGTGGACACTGATGCACTGTTGACTTCTTATACTAACAAACCTCTCCTCCCTTGAGCATCAAGCTTTATTTCACACATACACACAAAAGTATTTTCCTCACTTCAAGGATATTAATTCTTCATCACTAAAATTGTCCTGGCCAGAAGATTAGGATCGGAATGAGAAACCAACCCTGGGTTCACATTAGAATAATTATAGAGTCCTAGCAGGAACTAGCCCAGGGCATCCAGGTAGGTTTCTTATCACATAGTGATCCATTTAACCCCATGATATTTTGAAATAATTGTGCCCTAAAGATTGTAGGAAATGAGAAAAACAGAGAGAAAAGGTAATACCAAGTTTGCTAGGGACAGAGAGACCTAAATTCAGAGATGAAACAGTCAAATTAACTGCTTACCTGTTTTTCTATAATGTTATGTCTCTACAAAATGAGTAACTTGCCTGCAAAATTCAGAAAGCAATGATGGCTGGAGAATAAGCGGATTGATAACATTTTTGCTGTTCCTTAACTCAGAACTACAGAGCAACCAGCAACATTTTTGCTGTTCCTTAACTCAGAACTACAGAGCAAACTATGGTTTACCAAGAACCATAAAAGAAAAGCATGCTCATGTTGACCCACTGTATTTGCTCTTTGGAGATCTCCCTTTTGTCTATATTATCAGAAGCATGATTTAAATTTAGCAATTAAATTTGTGAAATTAAATTCAGCCCTGACAACTACATAACACATGCAAATGCTTTCCTCTTATAAGTGATAACACACAATGTCACTGTCAGACTGCCCTTGTTTTTGTCATCCTTATTCCTACGGCAATTAATCTTTAACCAACAATCCTTTAGTCTGGGGTTTCTATTAATTCTTATCACTACTTGAAATAATCTTTGCTTCTGCCAGTCAAGCAATTGACAATTTCTATTGTTTTCTGAATTTGCTTTTGAATTTATTTTTCTCTGTTGTGTTGACAGTTTTCAACCTGTATTTATTTTTAATTATTTTTCCCTGCTAATTAACTGTACTTGGCTGATCATCTTGTCCTGAGAAAACAAGTGAACATATCAATAGATCTCTTTGTATGTGGTTCCCAAAATAATATTGTGCATTGCTACATGTTCTTGAGCCATCATCCTATTTGTCCTTCATGATGACCAGCTGTTCTTGTTCTCTGTTCTCAAAGCCCTTATCTATTAAGTAGTTCCCTCCATATTTGCCACTTCTATGGTTTATATTTAATTGCTCTATGTACTCCTTCTTGTATAATAATTTTCTAGTGTCTTAGTCACTTCAGCTGCTTTAACAAAATATGAGAGACTGGGAGCTTAAATAATAGAAATTAATTTTTCGCAGCTCTGGATGCTGGGAAGTCTGAGATCAAGGGGCCAGATGGTGGGGTTCTAGAGAGAGCCTTTTTTTCTGGTTTGCAATTGGCCATCTTCTTGCTGTACCTGGCAGAGAAAGAGATCTACTCTTTTTTTCTTCTACAAAGGACACTAATCCTGTCATGAAGGCTCCATCCTCATGACCTCATCTAAAAATCACTGCATTAAAGGATTTCAAACACAAATTTTGGTGGGAAACAAAACTGCAATCTATGGCATCTAGATACTAGCTAATCTAATTAAGTAAGCCACATTTGAAAGATCTGTTCTTAATGTCTCAGGAGTTCTCTTTATTTCAGGATTATTCCCCCTTCCCTCCCCCCAAAAAACTCCACATAAATGTAAATAACAAATAGACAGTGGGAAGAGTGATCACTGAAATGTTTTTATTTTCTACTTTCCATTGCATTTTTCATTTTTTAAAAATGAAAATCTGAGTTGCCATGAATTCTGACATATCTGGGGAAATAGGTCCATGTGCTTCATTGAGCATAGTATATGATATCCCCACTAAAGGACTAGAGATCCAGGGAAATAATTCTTTAAAAATTAGGCTATACTGTGCAATTTTTTGTGTGTGGGGTTAATGAGTAATTTCTATCGGCAGAATTGACATGAACTGCCCTAATTCTAATGAGCTGGGAAAACTTTTTAAAGGAGCTAGAATTTGCTAGTAATAATAACAACTGGGGATTAAACATTGCCTGTGTCAAAGGCTCCTTCTATGCACTACACTTTTATGTTTAAAACATCCCTAGAAATCACCTTTTTCTACCTGAATATATTAAAATGTAATAGAGACTACACCTTTTCTAAGGCTACACAGCTTTTTCTTGTTGACTCCCCACAAACGGAACTCAGATTGGGACCTAAAGCTTGAGTCTTTTCCTATGTGTTTACTATCTCCTCCAAAAAAAAAAAAAAAAAAAAAAACACACACACAAAAAAAACAAATAACAACAGCAACAAAACTGGAGAAAGAATTTCTATGACACAGGTGCTCAAAGTTAATGAAAACAATGAAATTTGCTCAACACAGTTTTTTCCTTCTTAGCATGTTGTTGAAAACTTTAATGCCAAGCTTTGTGATTTTTTTTCAAATATCTGATACACTGGAATTTGCAGTCTATTTCTTTAGATACTCTGTTCAGAGATATTTTTACTGGGGCAATCACACCACTATTATTTCTTATTTAGAGTTTCAGAGTCCCCACAATGAAGTCACCATTGGTACTCCTTTCGTACTAATCTCCCATTCTCATCTCCATCAATTACAGACTTGGTCATAGTATTAATTAATGACCTAGGGCAGCTTGGGTGGCTCAGTGGTTTAGCATCTGCCTTCAGCCCAGGGTGTGATCCTGGAGTCCCGGGATCCAGTCCCACGTCAGGTTCCCTGCATGGAGCCTGCTTCCCCCTCTGCCTGTGTCTCTGCCTCTTTCTCTGTCTCTCATGAATAAATAAATGAAATCTTAAAAAAATTAATTATCTAACCGCCACTGAAGATATTTTTGACGAAAATAAGAATTAAACAAAGTCAGGGCAATGAAGTGAACAGCCTTTGGTACCAGTGCCCCTTTCTTATTATAATACAGGACAACTCTCCTTCGTGTTTTGCAGAGATGTATTAGTGGCCCACAAAGG